TGGTCCTGCTGGGTATTAATAATACAATGGAGGGTGGCTGAGTGGCTCTTAGGCTAGTGCTTGTGAGGCAGGGGGTGTGGCATCTCCACCTCTCCTTGTCGCCTACCATTCCCAGCCCTGTTTTGAAAATGCTTCAGCCCTGCTGGGATGTAGAGCGCCCGGGAACAGAAAGGATGGACTATACCTCCAAGCAGCATACTGACTCAGGTTAGAAAATCAATGTGTGACCAGAAAAACACAGCTGGGCTCCGCCTCTTCTGGGAAATCCACGCAGTCAGCCCCGGGCACGTTTTATCACACACTCAGCAAGGTGGACAGCTCTATTCTAGGTCCTGATTTTAAGGCTTATGAACAAAAGTCTGGCACACAGAAGTCTCTGGCTCCTTAAGGCACACCAGGCCCATGGATCACAAGCTTCACACGACCCTCCAGTTGGGGTCAGGTATGTCTGGCACTTGCCAAGCTCCCGACTTCTCCCAGCCCTAGTCTGGACACTTCTCAAGCCAAGTCAGGCTCCGGACCACTGATTGGACAACCCGTGACCTCAGACTGGGTCAGATCCATCAGGTAAGCGTTTAAGAGCATGGAACAGTTTGTTCTTCAGAATCCCAAGGGCCGAAGAGTATGAACAGTTGTCATCCACAACTCAAACCCCCAACACTTCTATTTACTTACTTTGAACTTTGGGCAAGTTCTTCACCTCTCTGAGTTCGTTTCTCATCTATCAAATGCAGACTCACAAGTACCTCCATGTTCCAGGGCTGTGTGAGACTCGGGTGCGGAGTGTCGAGGGGTGGCACACACATTGGCAGGCACTCCATAAAGGGGAGTTATTATTTGTACAAACAGGGCCACTGGACACCAAATTTAAAAAACAGTACCCAAGTATGGAGGTTCCTCAAAAAATTAAAAATGGAGCTGCCGTTCGACCCAGTGATTCCACTCCTAGGAATGTATCCTAAGAATCCTGAAACATTCATCAGAAAGGATATATGTACCCCGACGTTCATAGCAGCACAGTTTACAATAGCCAAGATGAGGAAACAGCCCAAGTGCCCATCAGTAGATGAGTGGATTAAAAAACTGTGGGACATTTACACCATGGAATACTACGCAGCTGTAAAGAAGAAGGATCTCGTACCCTTTGGGGCAGTATGGATGGTCCTGGAGAATATTATGCTAAGTGAAATAAGCCAGGCAGCGAAAGACAAATATCACATGATCTCGCTTATATGTGGAATCTAAAGAACTTAATAAACTGACGAGCAGAATAGATTCAATGACATGGAAGCATAGTTGAGACTGACGAAATATCAGAGGGATGGAGGAGGGCGGGTGGGTGGAGGGGGAGAGAGTAACCAAAGAATTTATATGCATATATGCACAACCCAAGGACACGGACAATGGTGGGGAGAGTGACTGGGGAGGGGGAAGGAACGGGGGGGAAAGGGTCATTGGGGAGAAAAAGGGACATCTGTAATACTTTAAACAAAAATAAAAATTATAAAAAATAATAATAATAATAATAATAAAATAAAAAACAGTACCCATATACATATATGGTGGATGAGAGTATGGGTCAGGGGGCCAGACTGCCTGGGTTTAAAAGCTGACTGCTCCACCACTTTCAATGTGGCCACAGTTAACCTCTTTGAGTCTCAGTTTTCTTCTCTGTAAAATGGGAATAAAAACAGTAAGGTTGTGACAATTCAGTTAGATTAGATGCACTGAGAACGGTGCCTGGCATATAATAATCACTTAATAAATATCAATTATTTTTAATTAGTCACACAAGTTAGTAATGTTAGTAATGGGAGTGAAATCACACTGGTAAGGGTTTTTCACAGGATTAGCAGGGATAAGAACTCATATTTAGTGAGCACCTGCTATGTACCTGGTACTCCCAGAAGATACACATACACACACACACACACACACACACACACACACAGAGTGAGGTACTTCTGTTTTCATTTTTAAAAACCTTTATATTATAGAACAAACCACAGATGCAGAAAATCATACAAATTAAATTTGTAACTCAGTAAATCATTTCAAGGCAACACCCTTGTAACCACCACCCAGGTCAAGAAATAGAATTTTGTCAGCCACCCAAGAGTCCCTCCATGTACCTATCCCAATCACAGCCCTTCTCCCGAAAGTAACCACTACCCTGACTTTTATAGTAATTATTTCCTTGCATTTCTTTATGGTTTAGTCATCTGAGTGTGCAATCCTAGACATTATAGATTAATTTTGCCAATTAAACACACACACATAATGTCTTTTAAGCCTCTTTCAATGCATAGGTTCTTCCCTCTATCTCTTTTCCTTGCAGTTTATCTGTTGAAGCACTCGGGCTGCTTGACCTGTAGTTTCTCAAAGTCTGAATTTTGTCACTTGCATCTTCATTGTACAGTTCAACTTGGCCCTTTGACCTCTGTGTTTCCTGCAAATTTGCAGCTGGATCAGACCCAGTTTCCACCCCTTTGGTATGATAGCAGGTGGTTCTGGGTTCTTTCATCAAGAATCATGTACATGGCTGGAGTTTTGCTTTTTTTTTTTTTTTTAGCCAGAGACATGAATTTATTGCAGGTTGCAAAGTGGAAATAGTGTGTCATTTTTTTTCATTTATTAGCTGTAATAATTTTTTAGATCCTTACCCAATATATTTTTATTGATTTTTATTAGAGAGAGAGGAAGGGAGAAACACTGATGCAAAAGAGAAACATTGAGATCCATTACCTCCAGTATGCGCCCAACCGGGGATGGAACCCTCAGCCTAGGTATGTGCCCTGACTGGGAATCAAACTTTTTGGTGTATGGGACGACACACCAACCAAGTGAGCCACGTGGCCAGGGCAATTAGCTGTAATAATTTTGTAAGAAAGTGCTTTTCTTTACCTATTATTTGGTTACCCAGTGGTACAATTCATATATAAAAAGTGGAATAAATACTTGATTCTTTCCTTTTACTTACCCAGCTTTCAAGAATATAATTTGTTTGCATGCCATCTTCATAAGGTGATCGATCAGTTAGTGTTTTTGCTGAACATAAACTTTTTTCCTGGTTTTATGAACTCAGGGATTAAAACATATTTGATGAGTTTTAATCAATTGCAATTATCTTTATTGCAGCTGAAGTTATCTCATCTTCAGGTAGGTTTCTAAGTCTTTTTTTAAAAAAAATATGTTTTTATTGATTTCAGAGAGAGGAAGGGAGAGGGAGAGAGAGATAGAAACATCATGAGAGTCATTGATCAGCTGCCTCCTGCACGCCCCCTACCGGGGATTGAGCCTGCAGTACCTGCATGTGCCCTGACTGGGAATCCAACCATGCATGACCTCCTGGTTCATGGGTTATCGCTCAACCACTGAGCCTCGCCAGCCAGGCTCTAAGTCCTTTTGATGTGACCCTAGTGCCTTTGAGAGCTTCTTTGTTATCAAGTATGACAAGACATTCCAGCCTCGTCCTGTAGATTTCCTGCTACTGATCAGCAGTTTCTCCAAGAAATCACTTCATTTTTTTAAAATAGAAAATAGTATTTCAAGAGTAAAATCTGAGTGTTAGATATGCTCATGGCTACTAGATTAGTCATTGTTTCTAGGCCTTTCTAGCACATAGAAATAGGTATTTTATATATGAAGTATATATACTAATTCATATGTGTGCCTATGTGAATGTGTGTATACATACATATACATTTCTTTTGAAAAACAAATCATCTCTTGAATTCATACTGATATTTCCAATGCAAATACAGCATCATGGGGCTTTTAATTAACCTCTTCTATATTACATCTGTAGCTTCTTTCTTCCATACAAGAGATAAATTGAAAGATTCTGTAATGACTGATGCTCACACACTCCAGCCGCTCACAGAAACCGTCATGCTTTTGAGGCCCTCTTGGGTCAGTTCCCATCTTCCTGGGGCCTCTTGCCTCTGGGGTAGGGAAAGAAGAGCTTAAGGTCATCTCTTGGATACTCCTTTGGGCTCTGAGCCCTCCTGGACGACAGCATTTCTCTCCCTAGAAATAGCTTAGCGTCTTTACTCTGCCTGAAAGACGGACCTAGATTTCTCCCAAAGTCGTAGTTGCACAAAATACTATATACGTTGGTGGGTCTGGGGATTTTAATGGACCGGGGTTGGGGGCTAGTAGGACCTTTTTCAAGCTACCATTTCCATGAAGGGGACTTCAGGAACCCCCAAAGCATAAAAGAATTATAGGATGCTAATCCCGAAGTCTAGGTTTTAAAGCCCTTTACTTCATTGCCAGTTTCCCTTTCATGAAAGTTTCCATAAATATGAGGATTTAATGAGACAATAAAAGTAAAACACCAGGCGCTCGGTAGTTACGTTCTCAGAAAACGGCAGCTTCTTTCCTTCCTTCTCTGGGCCTCAGTTTCCCCGGCTGCACCGCCTAAGCTTGCTGCCGCCCCCGCTCCTCCCCGCCGGCCCCTGCCCGGGCTCGTGTCCCACTGCGCCGGCTCGGCCGCCAGGTGGAGACAAAAGACAGAGACGGCGGCGAGGTACCGCACATGCGCACTCCGGGCAGTGCCTGTCCGTGCGCGCCCTGCCTACGTCACTTCCGGCGCGAGGGGCCGGGCCGGCCGGGCGGGGCGTGC